AAGAAAGAAAGAAAGAAAGAAAGAAAGAAAGAAAGAAAGAAAGAAAGAAAGAAAGAAAGAAAGAAAGAAAGAAAGAAAGGGAGAGAGAAAGGTTGGTTGACTCCCTTTCTAAATGAGAATCTCAGGAGATTCTGAGTCCCAAGGAAGTACATGCTTATCTCCCAAGACAGAAAAGGAAAAGACAGTGTGAAGATGCTGCTGTGGACTGAATATTTGTGTCTACCCAAGATTCTTATGTTAACTCTGAACCTAGGTGATGGTGAGACTTTGAGAGGTGATTAGGTCATGAGATTAGTGCTCTTGTTAAAACAAAAAACCCAGAGAGCTCCCTCATCCCTCTACCATGTGGAGACATAAGAAAAAGGCATCACCTATGAACTAGGAAACGGGCCTTCCCAAGTCATGGAATCTGTGGGCACGTTTATGTTGGACATCCAGCCTCCGGCACTGTGAGAAATAGACTGCTGTTTATAAGCTGCCTAGTCTATGGTATTGTATTATAGTAGTCCAAACAGACCAGATGCTGACCCAGATTAGACATAAAAGGGGTGGTCTCCCACTCCCACTTGGGGCTTCCTCAAAGCACCCTCCCATCTGCTCCCTCTCCTCTGAGCACCCTTCATGTTGCTGGAGCCAGAAGCAGAGGCACAGCCTGCTAGAAAAGCACCCTGCTTTCTACCTGGCAGTCAACCCACCATGCTTCCCACAAAGAGGACTCACAGAGTTATGTGTCATCTGAATTTAATGCTCTGGCCAAGGAAGTCCCAATCCTCCATGATCAGCAGGAGGCCAACAGTGTGCCAGCTCTTAGATTCTTCCAGACCCTTCAAGGAAAAAGTAAAGATTTTCACCTCCCCTACTTCAGTAAATAGTCCATATTCTCTTCAGAAGACCTGGCTGGGAGGCACTGGCTCAAAATCACACTTGCAAGTGAACATTCTGGAATTTGGCTTTCCCTGATGCTATATTTACAGAGGCCACCAGCACATCTCAAGTACATATGACGCAGCTTGTGCCTGAGGTCTTGCCTTGTGGAACAGTTTCACTTAGACCTCCTTCACAATGCTGGCCTTGCCCATGAATCTTTCTCTAAGTTTTTCTCAAGAAGTTTCTCTTTATTCTATCCCAAAGCTGCTCAACAGTGATACTGTTAACAGTCGGGGCCAAATCAGGCATTGTCCTACAGGTTGCAGGATATCTACCACCCATCCCTGGCTTCTATACACTAGATGACAACACCACCAGTTTTCACAATCAAAACTGTGACATTGCCAGATATTCCCTGAAAACCAAAATATTCCTGTATGAGAAGAACCTGTGGTCCAGCCAGTCGAAGCTCACCCCTTTCTGATATCCCTGAGCCTTTTTCTGGGTTAGCTGTGGCACATCCCATTCTACCAAGGTCTCTCAACCCAACATTCTGTACCTTTAAAAGAAACTATAATATAATGGTCCCTGAACTTTCTAGTTATTCAAAGTTGCCCTTCCCCATCAATACTCAAATTTTCAGGCATTTCTAAAGATATCAGGGTGGACAGGGGCTTCTTTTCCATACTGGCCCAGCCCTTTCCTCACTTGATCCCTCCAGGCCTGCCAGGTATTCCCTGAGCTGTGGTGGAAGTAGATGATCAAGTTTAACCATCTTTACCAATGACCCTGAGGAATTATAAGGTAAAATGAAAAATGATATTAGATATCAGTTCTCATGGCTCATTGGCCATGCCCCAGTTATTTTTGTCCCCAACTGTTTGCCTTGCTCTGTGCCACTTGAATGCCATTCCCTCCCTGTCCCTCCTTTCCCCATCCCCAGGACAGTCAAAGACACCCCTTGCCTAAGTAAGGAACAGCATTTCCCTTTCATTCAACACAGAACACTGCAGAGAACCAGCTGCACCTTGACACCTCTTTTGGCCAGGACACTCCAGGACAATGACTAACAGCCTCTTGGTATGAACCCCATGAAGCAATTGTTAATCATCCTTGCTTAGTTATTCAAGATCCTGTTCCTTCTAAGCATCACACTGTCTACAAGAATCCAACGTGACACAGTCTCAAAACACAGATTCTGGTTTTAATTACTTTCATTTTATGGAACTAAGATGCCAAGAAATCTCTAGTTTTTATCTTTACCTCAAAGAACTACCCTAGTAGGAGATGCTCATGAGTAGCAAGTAGTCATTTCCACTCCAGCCACATACCCACCATGCTGCTTTCAAAGAACCACCTTCCTCTCAAGCTGTGACAATCAAAACTGTGTCCAGACATGGCCACATAGTCCCTCAGCTACAGTCACTGGTGCGCACAAAGCACACTTGGGTAAGAACTGTGAAAATAACAACAAATTTAAGGTACCCTCTGTGTCCTCCAAAAACTTAACATCACTTAGAAGAGTAAGAATTCAGCTTGCTAAATCACACAGAAAAATAGTTAACCAATAATAGGTCAGGATAACAAAAGATGCCATGAGATGGTGAGCCTTGTACAGGGTCAGAAAGGAGAGAAGAGAACGTTTTAAGAGCTTCCACCCAAGTGACTTCAGGTATTACGTGATATTATGCTGTAATCCATAGAATCTTAAATAATGCTTCCCTAACACTTACTCTCTTTTTTTTTCAATATTAGGGATTGAATCTTGGGCCTCACTTATGCGAGGGAAGCTCTACCACTGAGCTACATAGTTTGAGACAAGTTCTAAGATGCCCCAGCTGGGCTCCAACTCGCCATCCACTAGCCTCGCTTGTTATATTCTCTTTGATTAGAATTATTTAACTATCTGTCTTTCTTCATTTACTATGGAAGCACCATGAGCACAGACACTCACTCCCCTTTGTTGACCACCTGTAGTTCCCACCCTCACACCTAAGCTGTGTCTGACGTGCAGTACTGCACAATTAGATAGAAATTGATAGGCAGCTAGAAAGGGACGAGGCTCAAGATAAGCCTGTGGTCAAGGGCTGAGCTCATAAAAACTGTGGCCCCAAGGTGGAGACAGCCTGCCTAGGCTTGCAAGCCTTCCCAGGGATAAAAAATAGCTCAAAGCTGTAAGGTGACCAACACCAACTGGTCCAATAACTCTGAAAAGAGTAACAAACACTTAGAAACAGCATAAGGAACATGTGGATAGACAACCAGGACACTCCTACCCCTTGCAGAAATGCCTTTGTTCTTCTACTTGTTATGTACCCTTGCTATGAACCTTGTTTTTCTATTAAATAAATATTAGCTAAGTGACTGTACTGTAATCTTGTAGGTTAATTGTAGTTTGACCTAGGTAATGTGATTTTACTGTATAAAAACTCCCTAGACAAAAACCCTCAGAGGTAACCCACTTTTTGGAACCCCTCCTGCCTCTCAGGGCTTTCTCTTAATAGAGTTTGTCCTACTCTTCACCTCCTTTGTCTTCGACTCCGTTCTTCAGAGTCATGAGACAGGAACTCAGCACATCTAACAGGTTGGATACATATAGTAGGTTACTTTCCTATAGCAATAGGTCATCCATACATGTCAGGGGACAGCTTTGGAAAAGGTCAAAGGGGACAAGAAGCAGAGGACATTGAATGAGCTCCTGTCCAGGCTTTAGGTGTTAAGTTGATACAAGTTGGTTGGAGCAACCTAGATAGTAGACTGTACTTTATCAGGGATTTTTGAAGTTTTTTTTTTTTTAGTTAAACACAAACCCACACACATACATATTTAATCCTGGTTTTGTTAATTTAAAGAATCACTGAGCTGATTAGTAAAGTGCAGTTCTGGGTGTGCCGGGTGAGTCATGTGCTGGTCCCTCACACCTTTCTCTCTGGTGCTGTTTTCCTGCGCTCTGCATCCTGGCCACCATGAAGGGAACATTTTTGCCCCAGCATGCCCTTTGCCATGATGTTCCTGCCTTGGAGCCAGCTGACCATGGTCTGAAACCAAAACTTCGGAAACCATGTATCAAAACAAACCTCTTCTCCTTTACATTGTGGATGTCAGTGATTTGTCCCAGAGATGGGAAAGCTGACTAATACATATGGCTTAGAGGGAGGGAGGGAGGATGAATGTCCATATAGCAATATGAAGGCTGTTGGTGGAGAGGGAAGATTTTGGAGTCTGTTTCTGAAGGGATATTTTCCATATCCCACAGCCCTCCTCTTCTTCCATCCCTGATCTTTCTGTAAGTTTAATTCTCCCCAGAAAGGCAAGACAGTTACAAAATCCAGAACAAACCCAGGGCTTCTGCTCTGCTGGTCGCTGTGTGGAGCAGGGCAGAGGTGAACTTGGAGGAGGAGCAAGAGGAAATCACTAATTCAAATCCATAATCACCTCCTACATTGGTCCTTTGTTCATCTGTGCAATGCTTATTGAGCACCTGCTGTTTGCCAGCAGTCATCTGGTTTCTGAGGACCCAGAAGTACACAAAACAGACAAAAGACCAGCTCTCACACTTCACACCAGGAAGACTGGTAAATACAGGGTACTGAACCCTTCTGGGAGGTCTTATTCCCCTGATAATTTGCATTTCTAACCAGGTTCCAGGTGAAGCTGCATCCAGGCCCCTGCAGACCACCCTTGGAGTAGCACTGGGCTCCAGCTTGCAGCAAAAGACACAAAGGAGCTGTCAGCCAGTGGTCCAGGAAGAACCCAATGGAACATCTGAAAAAACAAGACAAGGTAACCAAGTACATCACTGAGCAAGGGGACAGAGGAGGCAAGAGGAAGAGGGAGGTGAGGAAGGTCAGGTATATCCTCCCTCTCTCCTGTTTCCTGGAAGTTCCAAGGAAAGCCCTGTCACTCCCTCCCCAGTGCCACATTCCACTGCCTGCAGTGGCCAAACACTGGCAGCCACCGCCTGGTTGCCTGGCACCGTGTGGTCAGGGCCTGGGAGGGGGCTTCGCAGTGGGTGGCATCAGTGGCTGACTCTGCTGGTGGGCCTTTTCCCTGCTTTGAGCTACTATGGGTCTTCTCCACAGCCAGCCCGAGCCTCCGACCAGTTTATTTACTTAAACAACAAACATCCCATTGGCCATGGGGCCCAGCTGGGCTGAGCAAGGGTAGGTCCTGAAGGGGACGAGACACTGTGTCTTTACAGAGGCCACCCACATCGTCGCCAGGAGGAAATGACAGGCTGTGCACTCAAGAGCCCCATCCTGCTCAGGAATATGTGTGGTACCAGCAGCACCCTGGCCACACCACCCCTCCCTCGGCTTTCTCTCCGGGCTTTAAGTCTTCCTTTATTTTGTCTTCAGCGTTTTTATTCTTCTCATCTGCAATGGTGATAAAGAAAAGCAGATCATAAAAAAAGAAAGGAAAAAATGTGAAGCTTTCTTTCTCTAAAGAGAAAAGAGGGTTTGAATAAACAGAATGTCACCGAAAGGCAAACAAACAAGGCTGTTTTTGAAAGAACCAGATGGACTTCCAAATGGCCCTTCCGATTGCACCCCACAGTGCTGTACCAGGGAGGGAAGGGAGGACTGGGCCCTGGGGTCTGTGTGGGGTTCACCACTCAGCAATTGAAAGTCTGATTCCAAACCCTGCAGGCAGCTTGCGAACCCACAGGCGATTTGGGAAACCTCAAACCTCGCTGAAATGAAATAAAATCAAACAAGCCCTTCATTGCCTTGGATATTTTTTTAGCATGCCCTACATCATTACATTTTTCTGACAGATGACCAATGTCTTAAATAAGGAATTGCCAACCAGATTCTTTTATTATTGCAAAGTTGAGGAAGGGTTGGGTGTTTGTTTTTGTTTTCCATTTTTCTAAAACTTTCCCAGACGCTGCTAAATGGCCCTGTGCCTAGTTAGAGGGGTCAGTTTGACTGGCCTTTACTTCTTATCTGTTTGTCCTTTGTCCTTTAAATCAGCTATGGTTTTCAAAAATGATAACCAACTGACATCCAAATTCCTCTAATAATTTCCCAACAGCTAGGTGATTTGCACTACACAGGTTGATGGGGAGAACTTTAGTCTTAAAAACCTGTTTGTTTGTTTGTTTTATTCTCTAAGGATCAATCCTTTTTTTAAAAAGTAGATTTCATTTTTGGAGTAGTTTTAAGTTCACAGCCAAATGGAAAAGAATGTACAGAGTTCCCGCCTGGCCCCACCCTCTCCCACCACCAGCATCTCACGCAGGAAAACTACCCTTGTGGCAACTGCTAACCCTGAACTGACCCATCCTATAGCTCACATGAAGGTTCACTCTCAGTGCTGTGCTTTCGATGGGTTTTGGCAAATGCAAAAGGACACATGTTCATCACTGCAGTCTCACACAGATCAGCTCCCATACCCTAAAAAAATCCCCTGTGGTCTGCCCAGATAAATCCTATTTTGCAAAGAGAATCAACTTCAGTGTATGAGGTATCTCCTATTTGACATTTACATGCCACTCACCTGTTCAGGGAAAAATTTCTCTCCTGTCAAATTGAGGCAGAATAGAAGAAATAAAAGATAGGTAGGAAGGAGATGAGGAAATCATAACTTTAAAAATTATACTTTTAAGAAGACAGAAACTTCCACAACACATTCAGCAGCATTCATTCAGTTAGGCTCAGGCTCCTTCCCTTCCAGACTCATCACACCCAAAATTCCTCAGGAATGCTTACATTCATAAATTGGCTGAATTGAGAAAGAGCAGGAACCCAATCCCAAGATAAAAGAACAGATTGAGAGAATCCAAAGAATGTTCAAATTATCTATCTCAGAAAAAAATTTTAAAACTGGGCTTATACTTGTAACATGGGCCATACCTTTCTTGGGGGTGGGTTACCTTCTCCTGGGGTTTCTATCCCTCAAGAGAAATAGAAATGTTCTCCATTCTAGGAAATAAGTGCCTGCCCCTCTCTCCCCCTCTCTCCCTCTCTCCCCCCAGCCTGCACTCTATTTCTTTTCTTTCAGGGTATACTTTTTAATTTCTGCCTAATAAAACCCTTCCTGTGCCTCTTACTGACTGAGCCTGAAAATTCTTTTTCTGTGATGGAAGTCAGCAAACTTTGAATCTATTCTACATGTAGGTGAGTTAGGTTTCATATCTCAGCTTGGGGAATCTCCTTGGGCCCTGTCTCAAGGCATGTGAAGAAGGCAGTATTTTCCCTAATTGCTGCAGTAAGTCCTGCTTGGATTTCCAGCAGAAGTCAACACCACTTGGGTGGAGACCCAAGTCCTAGTGCCTGGTAGCCTACCAGAGCCCTGATTCAGAGGAAGGTGGCCTGGGGTCCTTGGTGGCCTGCCTGGTGATTGACATTTAAAGTTCTACAACTGGTGCTTTCTCTACTGCTACAGATATCTGGAGACCATCTTCAGAGCTTCTTTCACAGCATATTGTCACTGGTGACCTCAAGTAGATAGCTACACACAGCAAGGCCAATGGAGTAGAGGTCAAAGATAAAACTGGCCTACCTTGATAGCCTCTCTAGACTCAGCGTTCCTGGGCACAGATAAAACAAGCCAGGCAAAAGACGTGACCATAGCAGAGCACATTTCACCTATGGGCACTAGGTATTGAGGTGGAACAAAGAAACTCTGGGTTTATTGGCTCTGGTTCCTCCCCCATTTACTAACTGGATGTGAAGCAAGGTGCTCTGCTTCTCCAGGCCGTGGTCCTACCTGCAAGCACAACAACCATATGACATAGGTTGGTGAGGATTTAGAAAGCCAGTATCTATACAGGCTGTGTCATCATGATATGTGTTTGTAAAACAACCCTATTTCTCAATTGTTTCTTTGCTCTAAAAGAAACTATATGTGTGCAAGATAAATTTAGATAGGCACCTGAAGGTAGAAAGGTCTCATCAAATTGAACATTTTTGACAGGAAGGAAGGAAGGAGAGAGAAAAGAAGGAAGAGAGGGAGGAAAGGAAGGAGGGAGAGGGGTGAGGAGGGGAAGGGAAGGAAGACACAGCACAGAGCTGGTCCTGCTTTTCAACAGCACTTAAAAGAGGATTTTTCAGCTGCCCTTGGTTTTCAGACGGAGGCCATACCACGGAGCTTTATTTACTAGTATCAAAATTCTACTGTGGGAGGTAATTATGAACTAGAAGAAAGGAGAAAACTCTTCATCAAGGCTCTTAGAACTTGTTCAGGATAAAAGTATAATATTATATGATGACTGAACAATTTCAGAATTTCAGAATTTCCTAACATGTGGCCTAGCTTCAGAGGACATGGTGACATTGCACCAAAACGTAAATTCATCATTTCATCATTCTGGCCTCATTTTCATTGGCTGGAAAAGGTGTGTGTGTGTGTTTAGTTTTTAAACACTAGTGTGTCGGCACATTGTATGATCCTTACCAGGCAGGCCCAGAGCCCTGGAAGTCACACTCCACAGTTTTCTCCTTTGTTCCTATCCCAGCTTCTGCCTCTGAAGGGCTGCATCACAGTCACCTGGAGGGCTCCTTAGGTTCAGTGCTGGCCCAGCTCTAGATCAGCAGGTTTGGGTGGACCTGGGGTTGGCCTGCCTCTCAAATTTCCATGTGACACTGATGCCAGTGGAAGGCAACATTTGAAGTAGACTGGCCTAGGATAAGCTTTAGTGTCTAGCAGATGTTCGGTAAATATGTGCTGATTGAATCAAAAGGCAGGGCCTTGGGTGATGTATATGCCAGGAAAGGAAGGAGAACACTGTGTGCTGTGGTTTGTGTTGCAGAGTTCTAAACTCAGGAAGAACTTCAAAGGTCATCAGTCCAAACCACAGCCAAACCTAGAGTTTTCTTTAAGATCCAGTTTTATTAATCAAATCTATTCAAATCCTAAAAAACAAGTAATAGCATCCACTAATTTTTCTGTTTATGCTCTCTTCCCCTGTACCATGCTGGGGGACCCTGAGTGCTTATCCAGAGTTGTCATTACTGCATCCCTAATGAGGACCTATGGGCCTGACCCTGCATCACTCATGCTATGAGGCAAATTTCCTTGGCTCCTCATTCTAAAGATGAAAGATTAGAGGCAGTCAGTTGATACTCTGAGGCTTATCTGAAAGCTAACCTAATATCTGGGGCTCCCAAGCCTGTGGTGGGATTACCCCCTCCAGAGTGAGCAGCCCCTGCCAGTTGACCTGAGCCCATAGATCACACACTACTTTGGCACTTGAGGAGTTCAAGTGCGCAGCTTGTTTTTCCAATGAGGCACGGAGTGCCCATGTAGCTCTAGTATAGTAGAGACCAACCTATAAGAATCTTATGGGCACTAGATAGAGGTGCCAGGGCCTCAATGAAGCCACAGTACAGCCACAGGACTCTGCACCAGCACCCCAGGGGGTTGGAGATGTCTCCAAAGTCATCTGTCCAAGACTGAGACCTTCATGGCCTCCTTTTCCACATAGTTCTATCTGATAAGTACTTATATGTATTCATATCCAGAAAGATTTTTATGGAATAGATAGAAATATATATACAATGGTTTGCATCTAGATGTCCCCCTAAAGCCTCATGGGCTCATAGGTGGGGTTTTTGGAGCCGGCTGGATCTAGGGCAATAATGGCAAACCTTTTAGAGACTGAGTGTCCAAACTGCAACACAAAACCTACTTATTTATCACAAAGTGCCAACACTGCAATTAAACTTGAATACTGAGGTTTTAGTTTAGAAAAAAACAACTGTTATCTGATGCTTGGCTGCTGGGGCAACTTGGCTTGCGTGCTGATGGAGAGGGCTCTGTGTGCCTGCTGTGGCACACATGCCATAATTTTGCCACGACTGATCTAGGGTATGTG